ATATCGACTAGACACTAAAAGTGCAGTGGACGTAGGATACCTAATTTGTTTGGGATATCTGTGATTTTGTAATAAGGCTTATGTTTCTGAGAAAAATGCCCCAGGTACAGCAACCAGCACCTCCAGAGAGATCTGTTCAAATCCTGCTTCTATAAGCCAGTGTGTAGTATATGGGCTAGTTCAAGTTCATGGGTTGCCTATGTTATCTCAGCTTAGCCTACCTCACAGGATTGTTGTGAAGAAAAATGGGAGAAGAGACTATGTGCAGTATCCGGATCTCCTGAAAAAGAATAATGTAACTCTAAGAAACAAACAAAAAATGTGTAGTTATATTACTCTGTTAGAATTAAACAGTGGCAGCTTCCATTGTTTGGTGCCCAATTCAAACTTTAAAATCCTAACTATTTTTAGATCCTTAAAGGATCAACTGGTTTGCCCATGCTTTGAGATAAGCCCGAGGGTTTAAGGCACAGTAATATAGTTCCTTCTCTATACAACTCTGGATTCCATGATGCCTCATAATTGCAACCACTCATATCACCTCTAAATGTATAGTTGCATTATTGTTTAGAGGTTTTTTTGGATAGCTGTGTATATCATATGACTAATTTATAATTTTGACTTGAGTTTATAGCTTGTAATGAGCTATGACTTGTAAAAAGTGCTGTTTGTGATTAGCACTATTGTTATTTTTTAAAATATAATTGCAATTTCAAGATTCATCATGCTAAAAATGAGCTGCTTTTATACTATGAACCTTTAGAGATAAAAATATATTTAAACCCTCTCATTCATCTTCCAACATGTAAAAATAAAAATAATCATATCAATTTGAATCCTATTTTCTGCAACAGGAGAGTTAAACGTGATGGAAGATGTCCCTCAGAATTTTAGAATAGCAATAGCATTTAGACTTATATACCGCTTCATAATGCTTTACCGCCCTCTCTAAGCTATTTACAGAGCCAGCAACAATTTGGGTTCTCATTTTACTTGACCTCATAAGGATGGAAGGCTGAGTCAATCTTAAGCTGGTCAGAATCAAACTCTTGACAGGGAGTAGCAAGATAGCCTGCAATACTGCATTCAAAAAACTGCAACACCACCGCTTAGTCCTTGTTTACTGACCAGTCACTCAACAACTGTTCAAAGTTATGACATCACTGGAAAAAGAGAAGCTGCGATCCCTAAAGTTGTGGCCCTTATAGCATCCCTATGCAGTCATATGATTGTGATTTAGGCACTTGGCAACAAGCATGCATTTATTATAGTCGAGAGTATTCTGCAGTCATACGACCACTATTTGCAACTTTCTCTACCAGCTTTCTACAAGCAAAGTCAATGGGGAAGCTGGCAGGAACTCATAATTCATGGTCATGTGATGTCACACATAATAATCACAGATGATTTGCTTCACAACTACAATCAGAACTGACATCATCAGCCAGTAAAGCCATGTGATGTGTCATTTTATGACTGTCTCACATAGCAAGAGAGTTCCTAATCCCACTTGCAATCAGTGAGGACTAGTATACTTAAAGCTTGTGGAGCTTTAATAAAAACATTTAAAATGGACTTGTCATAGGGAAAGTTATAGAACCAACAGAAACAAGAAAAAGGTAGTATTTCATACAGTCTGTAACTTCCGTGCAAAAGTCTGTAAAAGTTTGTGCAGAAACTTTACTTGTGCTTCTTTTCATTTCTAAGGGGTATTATCTGATTTATCCTACACTACAGGTAATCCTCAATTTACAACAGTTCACTTAGTGACTGTGTGAAGTTATGACACTGAAAAAAGTGACTTATGACCATTTTTCACACTTATGACTGTTGCAGCATCCCCATGGTCCCGTGATTTACATTTGGATGCTTGACAACTGACACACATTTATGACATTTGCACAGTCCCGGAGTCATATGATCCGCTTTTGCAACTTTCTGCCAAGCAAATCAATGGGGAAACCAGATTCATTTAACAGCTGTATCACCAATTTAAGAATTGATGTGATTCACTTAACAAATGTGGCGAGAAAAGTCATAGAATGGGGCAAAACTCAACAAATTTCTCACTTAACAGCATAAATTTTGGGCTCAATTGTGGTCGTAAATTGAGGACTACCTGTATTCTAATTATTCCTCTCCTGATGAACATAGAAGCTAATGTGACGATTCTCAGAATTGTGTATGAAGGCACTCAGATATTAGTCAAAAATTCAGTCACAAAGAATTGCTAAGTTCAAAATATTGCAAGTTTCTACTGTAGTAGAAACTCACACACATAACTAATGTAGCTCATAATGTCAACAATTTCATTACATCACTAGTATTTTTTATCTTGTCTTAGCTAACTTGTTTCAGTTGGATTTTCTTTGTTTGTTTGTTCCTTTTCTTTGTTTGTTCTGCATAGAAAAGTCTGTCAAGAAATAATGTAATTAGACAATTGCAAGACTGAAGTCTATTCATAGCGGGCAATTACTGATCTAATTAAAAGATTTACCTTTTCATTCATTTATCAAATTACTTTATAAAAATATTTGATACCTAGAGAAGCAAAAAAATGGATTTTAGAATTTTCTGTATCACTTGGAAAGATATAAAAATATCAGTTATAAATAAATAACTAAAGGTATAAAAATATCACTTATAAATTTAATTTACAAAATAAGATTTGTTCTGAGCTACTTTGAAATATAATCATATGGAATGCACTTTGCATAAAATTTCAGGGTTGCAAAATTTCCCAGGTATTGAGCTCTGTCTCTAAAACGATCACTAAGATTTCTTCTTGATCTAAGTCTGTATTTCCTTCCAATCCTTTAACGTTATTTGCAGATTTCAAGGAAGAACAATTTAGGTATGAAAAAAGCATGAGAAGTCGCTCTTTCAATAGGATGTTTTCCTGATTTTTAAAGCACTTTCAGGAGGGTTAATGCAACAGCAGTAATTCTTATATGGAAAATAATTAGCTAAGTTAACATAAAAAAAAATCCCAACTATTTTTATAATTTCACATGGCATTGTTTTACTCTTTTGGATGAACTGACAGAGTTTGACAAACAAAAATTTATAGTTCTGCAAATTGTTTGTAAGAGAAGAATGAGAACTGGGCAACCCAAAAGCCTTCCAACCTGGAAGCGTCTTTGTTTAGTTAAGCACAAGCTCTGTTGTAAATTGCAAGCAAATGATCCTGAGGCCATTTTTCTTTGATTGTGAAGCAGAGACTCTTGAACAGCAGTATTTTATTCCTTTATTTATCTCACTTTCCCATCTGGTGTACTCCAAGGAAATAGGGAAGGTATTACCTATTTAAAATAAAAGCCTGGGCATCAGTCAAAGAATTGATAGCAGCTACTTCCTAGACAGGGAAACCACATTCCTGTGCCTCAAATGAAATCTTTGTGACCGAGGCATGGTTGGAGAGCATGTAGCAACCTAAGATTTTCCCAGTTCTCTTCCAGTAAAGGTGGAAGAGCTTTTGTTCCTTTGGAGAGGGTGAAAACACTTGCCAGTTCTGCGGCAGGAAGAAGAGAAACTTCTAAACATAATGCATTGGAGCTGGGAAAAAGATTTCTCATTATTAGGAACCCACCACAGCTTGGTCCTAGAAGTCAGTGTGTCTTTATCCTGATGATATGCTTTCCTTTTGGCCCACTGACTATCAGTTTCAAATCCACCACGCCTAGAGAGCAGCGCTCTTATTGCACTCCTGCAGTGAAGTTGCTAGAGAGATACAATCACTGCCATGTGGAAACAGCCCCAGTTCCTGACTATGGTTTTGTGATGGGGAGGCTGAAATTGACCAGACCTCTCATTGCTCAGGAAAGGACGATTGGGTGAAGTAAAGAAGCCCTACATCACCAACTCCCTTCCAAGTGAACTGGCCATAATGGCTCTCCTGACCTCCTCTTGGTACCATTGGTTAATGGTATCTGAGAAAACAGAGTTCCACCGTGATCCCCAATGCAGAATTCCCCCATTGGGTGACGGCAGGAACCGGGAGGTCCAGGACCACAAGATTACTGATACATACCACAAATGGGAGCCGCGGAACAAGAGGTTTTCCTCAGGCGCTTCCATGCAACCCATCTTATATGCATGGAGTGACTCAAGCCGCGCTAGGCCAAAAACACAATTTGAGCATTACAACCTCTATTTAGCTAGGCCAAAAACACAATCTGAGCATTGCAACCTCTATTTAGCCCGCGGCAACTGCGACCGCTAAACTGGTCCCAAAGGTGCTTTTTTTCAAGAGGCAACTGGCCTTTCTGGTTTTTCTTTGAAGAGGTTTCACTTCTCATCCAAGAAGCATCTTCCCACTCTTACTAGGCAATGGGAGGATTTATACTCCTTGCAGGCAGCTTGCGGACCTTAAAACTCGTCGGCCTCGGCCTTTTACTGGCCTTGAGATGCGGGCAGAAACACCGCGGACACGTGTTCGCGGGAGATATATTGAGGTGGGGGAGGAAGCAAGAGGCTGTGCGGACGCGGCTCTCCCGTTTCCACTGTGGGGGGAGCTGGCTAGCCGTTGGGGGTGTGTGTGTGTTTCATAATCCCGCTCCCTTCCTTGTGAAGCGGACGGGAATTTTCTCCAGCGTCTCCCCCGCCCCCCGCCCTCGCTTCCCAGCTTTTGGGTGAAACTCTCGCCTCGGGAGAAAAGTGCGCGCCACAGCCGCCAGAAGGTCCCAGTTGTATTGCCAGGCGCTCGGCAGAGCCATTATTTCCCCCCGCCTCGGCAACTTCAACCCTCAGCGGGAAGAGTGAGTCTCCCCCTTTAAGTCGGCTTTTCTCCCGCGGGAGCCCAGCGCTCCTCACTTGGCCCCTCTCGGCCACTTGCTGCGTCGTCAAGGGCAGAGGGCCAGTCGCAAGGACGTAGCTGCGCGCGGGGCGTTGGCTTCCACCTAAGCCTTTGGGTTGGGTAAGCCAGGTAAAGGAAGGCGCGGAGGCGGCTGCCGCGGCCCAGGAATCTCTTTTTCTCCGTCTAGTTTCCGTCTAGCTTCTAGGTTTATGACTCGGGCTCGACGGCAGGGGAGGGGAGAAGGGAGAGGACCGGAATGAACCGGAGGGCGGTGGTTCCACGCCCAGGCTTGTTGGAGTTCAAAACGATTCCCAAACTTTGCGGCTTCGTCCTTCCTGTGCCTGTAGGGAGGAGACTGGCTTGATCTCCTCCTCTTCCACCGCCAGTAACAACGCCGCCGCCGCCGCCTGGTTTTCTTCTCACCTGGACGCTGCTGCTTGGAACGCCACTGTGGGACCTGCCTTCTCTCTCTCTCTCTTTCTTTCTTTCTCCCCCGAACAGCTAGTCTTTTAGCTTACTTCTCCTTTGCTTGTAGCCTTCCCCCACCCCCCCAACTGCTCCCACGTTTTGTATACCTGTCCCGGCTTCCTCTCACTCTCCCCCACCCACTCCCCCCGACCGCCACCCCCCCCACCTTTCAGACCAGCTGCCTCTCTTTCTGCATTCCTTAAAAGGGAACTAATTTGGGGTTGCGCGCTCCTCGCTCCTTTGCTTTTGCCAGAAGTGGGGGAGAAAGAAAAAAAGAAAAAGGAAAACAAAACAAAACAACAACTAGAGAATACAGCTCTTCTGCAGGACAGCTCTCTTCAGTTCCGTCGGGGGCCCAAGTTGATGCTTTTCTGGTGATCCGGCTCTTCTGTTTTTTTTTTCTTCTTCTTCTCCGAGGCTTGAGCTAAATACAAGCTTTTCAAGATGAGCATCAATGGATCCCATCCCAGGCTCAACACCTTGGGCAGGATGGTCCGAGCGGAGTCCGGCCCGGATATGCGCTACGACATGAACTCCCATATGATGATGGGAGGCGGCGGGGGAGGCAGCAGCAGCCATACTCATAAAATGTATTACGTCCAGAAAAGCTATGCCGGGGACATCAACTCGGAAGGATACACGTAAGTGCACCTCGCGTATCTAGTTTTCTGGTGTATATCTATGTCTAGATCAGAGGTCTCCAACCGTGGCAACTTTAAGCCTGGAGAACTTCAACTCCCAGAATTCCCCAGCCAGCTGGGAATTGAAGTCCTCCAGGCTTAAAGTTGCCAAAGTTGGAGCCTCCTGGTCTAGACTCCCCCTCCCCTTCTTTTTTCTCATTGCAAATAAATAAGAGTTGCCCTGTTAAGGAGGAATGGACACATCCCATCATGGGCAGCCCTAGTCGGTTGCTGAAACTCACCTATGCTTCTCCCAGAATATAAATACCGTGCTGATTAAGCTATATGCATCCGTGTGAAGAAAAACGATCTAGTTGTAATTCATTGTTTCTTTTGTTTCCGCCCTCCTCCTCTTGTGGAGAAGGTGCTCTGCATTTGGAGTACAGTATGGGGAAGATGATTTCCTGTGATACCTAAAATAACAGGTTAAGGACAGAGTTCAGAGGTCTGGTTGCCACTTTTGATAATGTCATGGCTTTTGGCAGGCTGTAGTTTTGGGCTATGGCTATTGAATTGCGGGATAAAGGGGAGATCAGATGGATGATTCATCCATCTTGTAGGAGTAAAACTGATAGTTTTTTTTAACTTTGTGGAGAACATAAAGTTTTCTGATGAATAGTGTGCTTTTTGCTTGCATGGTTGTGGATTACTATCCTTTCCATAACTGAATTGCTGTAGCCTTTCTTTATATCAAACACCTGATTCCTTTTATCAAGTTTAAGGCCAGAAAATTATTTTGTGCTTTCAAGAAGAGTCATACAAAAGAATAGTTCCACCTTTGTTGATCCACTAAGAAGGATTTTTAAAAAATTATTTGTATCCTTGAGAAAAAAAAAAAAAAACGTGTAACACTGCTTCACATGCCTCATTTTTCCTGTTGTAGAGGCAGCATGCTGGCTAGGAAGCTGCATGCAGTTATAAACCATATATAATTGAAACTCAGAATACCGACCTTGTTGCAAACAAACATCCTACTTAGCAGACCTTGGCTGTTTGTACATTACCCCCTCTAGATAGTTATTATATGATCACACAAGGAGTGTTCACATGCCTATGAGAGTGCGAGCATGTGTGACTTGCCTGTGTATGTTTAAGTAATGTGTCAAGTATATGAGATTCTGTCTGATATCCAACACCCAGATGATAATCTAGAGAAAGATTATCATTTGGCTAGTTTATGTACTATTTATTTCACTTGCTTAGCAGGACTTGTTTTCACTGGTGTGACACATTGGCAAAACTAGCAAATAATACTTAAGATTAAAAATTGACCACCTTTTTTATAGAGGTGTGAATGTTGGCTTCTCCCTTTCCAAATTAGTAGTAGATTTTGTCATCAAGGTTTCTTTTCAGAAACCACCATCTTTTTTGTTTGAGGTGGGCTCAGTAGAGTTTTTCTTTCTTTGAATAACAAAATTGTATCGTTTGTTTTAGCTACTCCCATTTTGTATTCTGTCTATCTCATAGGATTGCTGTGGTTTATTACGTGATTTAATGCTCTAGCAATGTTGATAAATTATTCAATGAAGTTAGGGGTTTTTATTCTTAATTCCAACAGTGTGAACCACTAAAACACAAATTTACAAAGTCCACTTTAAAGGAGACCTTGTTAATTATTAATATTTCAAAATTAAACCCCCTTTGTGGATGGCATACATTCAAAGGCAACTGATAAAACATTGTTTTTAATCTCTTACTGTGTTTAATGTTTGGGAAGTAATTCCTTTCTCAGCCCTACCTCCTTTTCTTTGTAAAATTTATTTCTAGTATTCAGTTTTGTTTTGTTTTCCTCCATGGGACTGGGTGTGGATAATTTACTAACTGTGTAGACTCTAGATTTATTGTTAATTTTACCATATATTAGCTTTCATTGAATACTTACCTTGGTATACATTGATAGTATGGTTATTGAGATACTCTCTTCTGATTATGTTTGAGCATATTGAGACCTTAAAGTTTGGTGTAGTGGTTAAGGCATCAGGCTAGAAATAGAGGGGGTGGGATTGTGATTTCTACTGCCATTTTAGGCACAGAGCCAGCTGAGTGACCTTGGGCTACTAGTGACTTAGTCATTCTCTTTCAGCTTTATGAAGGAGGCAATGGCAATTTCTGAAAAACTGCAGGAACTAGTCCTGGCAGTTTTCAGAAGTCAAAACTGACTGGAAGGCACACACAAACACACACAATTAGCTTTAGTTAATTATCACTGGTAATAACCCTATCATTGGTACAATAATATTTATGGCTGTGCTCTATATTTAATACTCTCTTCAGAGTATTAACCCAGCTTAGTTTGGAAACTATGATGCAGAAACATTCAGCAAAATCAGTACATTTTATAAACCTAAACCTCCATGGATTCAGAATAAGTAGAAATTTAATAGATTTAACATCCTTTCCAGCTTCAGATATAACGGAGAAAAGTTTTCTGTGCTGTCATTTAATTGTTAAAAACCAAAAGAGCTCTGCTTAAATTGTGTGAATTAAATTAAAATTAAATGCCAGAAGTCGAGAATGGAGACAGTACATCTGGAAAGGGAAACTGTTTTTTTAAATGCAATTTGAACAATGTTTTTTTCATGCAAAAATGAATGGAATTGCTTAGGTGTGTATTGTATATAGCCTTATTTCAGACGTTATTAGTTACATATTTCTTTTTTCTATCCTGTTATTTTCTTAATTTTCCTAAGTGTCTTTGCCTGCAGCAATATCAGTATATAGTTTTGGTTACTGTGTTCATCTTCTTTGGCTACCATGCTTTGTTCTTAGGAATGTATCACTCTTCAACATTAGGCATTTACAAATAGTTGTAACATTTGAGAAAGTTTGCATACTGAAATATAGAAGTATTGGCATATATATAATTCTGAATGCGAACTATTGTTCATCAAAGTTTCAGCCGACTTGCCTGTGAGGTTAGAGTCTGGTTTTCTTAAAATTTTGTTTATTTTGGGTTGATCCTCTTCCAGCTTTTGTAGCTTACTGAAATGACAGTGCCAGCCTCTCCCTCCCCCAAGGGTTGAGTAAGCTTAGCTTCGCCGTTGTGGGAATCTAGGAACAAGTTGGTTTCTGTAGAAGTTTCATTGATAAGGAATGGAGAATGTAAATGAAATGGCTAGTGATTAACTCCACACTTTGCAAAAAAGTTCTTACCGGTCGATGCTTCTTTATCACTCTTTTTCTTTTTCCACTCATTGTAAAGAATTGTATCTCAGAAAGCCACTATCTGGCTAGAAGTTGATTGTTTCTTCTCCAGTTACTGTTTTTTTTTGTTTTTGCCTACAAAAATCTCTACCAAGCCCGCAGAACAGATTTTGAAACCTTTCAAAGGAGGCGGCAGGGGAAATTTAGTGTCACATAAGTAGATTTTTTTCAGGCAATATTGGATGTTGCTTTTTGAAAGTCTTACACCTAGGTATGCAAAGTCATTTTCATATTGCTTATTAAGTGTGGAGAAGTGGTGGTAAGATTTAATTTGTGATTAAACTTCGGTTGCACTTGTTTCAAAAACATGATTTCTAATTCCTTATTTAAAATAAGGTTAAGAATTATTATAAGGCAAGGCTGTCCTTTAAATGTCTGTTATATATACTTATGCATTTAAATCTATTTATCAGTGACCTTACTTGCAGCAACAAGTAGAATACAGTCTGTACAGTCATGCAGACTAGAATTACAACTTCATTTTTTTTTAAAAAAAAACCTTGTTATTTCTTCTCTCTCCCCCCCCCCCCCCCTATTTTCACAGGCTTGTTCTTGGGGCGGGGCAGGGAAGGGCAGGGCAGGGCATTGCAGACTATGTGAACAAATGCAGCCAGTATATTTGTTAATGAAAATGACTGCTACACCATCACAATTCCAAGATGAGAATAAGGAGTATCCCATAATACCATGACTAATGAAAAGATCACTTGATAAAAAAAAAAACAGAGCATGCAACCTGATTGCCAAGCAAAATCAGATATAAAGAGCTAATAATTGTAAGTGGGTTTGTGCAGGCAGGGGAGATGAAAAGTAATTAAAAAATAAATAGCTAGGATAATTCAACTTTTCATTAAAAAACGGTAAATCTACTTTACCCCTCTTTGAGACAGGAGCTAAGTGAGATATTGTACAGATTGGTGTGCAGAATTGGCACATCTGAACAAGTACAGATGTCATACCCCAATAGCTGTGCTGATCCTTCATAAATTGAGTTGTGCAAGTGGCACATTACAAAATGAATGAATCAAATCTGATTAGATTACTATGCAAAGAAGTCATGCTCAGATATTAGTCTGCTGAGCTTAGACCACTCTTAAGGGGTCAAAAATTATCAGGGCATAAATTCTCCCAAATTTCCAAAATGATACTGGTTCAACATTATTTCTGTGTTAATCTTGGCTAATATTAGAAGTTCTGAGTCTGTTTGCATATCATTCTGAGCCAGGTCATAGCTTAATTCTGAGTGCATTTTTACCACACTGAGTGGTGGTATTCAATTTTTTTTTTACTGCCGGTTCTGTGGGTGTGGCTTGGTGGGTGTGGTGTGGCTTGGTGGGTGCGGCAGGGGAAGGATACTGTAAAATCTCCATTCCCTCCCCACTCCGGAGGGGAAGGTTACTGCAAAACCCCATTCCCTCCCCACCCCACTAACCTGCTTTCCAGCTCCGTTCTCCTGTACAGGGCAACAAAAGACCCAGCCGATCAGCTGGGACTTGGGAGGCAGAGAATAGATGGGGGCAGGACCAGTCAGAGTTGGTATTTGCTGGTTCTCTGAACTACTCAAAATTTCCGCTATTGGTTCTCCAGAACCTGTCAGAATATTACCTCTGCATCTGCCCTTTTTAAAAAAATCCATGTTGAGTGCTTCAGCTAGCAATTTCTGTTGGCATTTTATCTGAATGCAGAATATACATTACTTCCAGCTTCTGCTAATTAGAAAATTAACCTGTATGTCTTTAGAAAAATAATGTCTCAGCATAATTATCCCATTTTCATGAGTCTACTATTAATCTTTTTTCTTCAAAAAAGCCAACAATTGCTTGTATGAATATTACTTGCAAGTTCTTATCATTTAACATTGACTGGGAATGGTGCTATTAAGCTCAGTTTTGGCAATCTCAAGTATCTGGATAAAGCCATCTTGCATTTGTAAAAGGAAGCAAGGTTCTAGTCCTCGTTGCAAATTTGGAATTCTATTAGTGATAATGGAATGGATGGCAATGTAGAAAACTTAATAAGAAATAGGGAAAGATCATTGGCTAAGGCATTGTTTTTGTATCATTAAAAATATAGTTGGGAGAATAAGTGTGCAGGCATTGTTTAGGTGAAATATAGGATGCTGTAGAGTAAACTCTTGCTGAAGGACAGAGTAGGTTGAAGATGACATAGAAAATTGTTCTTTAAAGAAGAATGAAACCTGACATAGATAATTTATAATATTATGTGCAGGTTTATATTCTAGAGTAGGAGTGTCAAACTCAATTTCATTGAGGATTGCATCAGGGTTGTGTTTGACCTTGGGGGGGCAGGGGGCGTGGCCAGGGGGCGTGGCTAGCTTGACATCACTCATGTCAGCTCTTGTGGTGGCCTGAGTTGCTCTGCCGGCGAAAATGGGCTCCCAAGCTCTGTTTTTGGCTGCAACGGCTTCTTGCAACCCTCTGCCAGCGAAAGCGGAGCTCCGGAGGGCCACCTGCAGCCTTTCCAAGCTCTGTTTTCACTAGCAGAGGCACCCTGGCCAGCCCTTTGCTGTTTCCAGGGCACCCTGTGTGCCGGATCTGGTCCCCGGGCCTTGAGTTTGACAGAGAGCATTCTGTCTTAGATCTTCCTTGATTAATTTTACACTTATTCCAGTAGATCATCCAATCATCCAATAAGATGATTGATGCAAAGAAATCATAATTCTTTGCAGTCTCTCTTTTTATATACCTTACTGAATGTTGGCTGAGTATTTATGGAATAATTGCAGTAAATATTTTATGTTTCTTCTAACGGAAGAACTTAGCATATTTCAGTAGTAATACAGTCTCCTTCAGTATTTAACTCATGGCAAGTATTGCTTTCCCTTTGCTTTTAAGTATTCACATTCTATGTCCCTTTCATGGTAGTCTGTATCTTGTTCAGAGAAGTTTCTTGCAGCTGAAAATAAAGAAGATTTTTGTTTCCCATACTGAAAAGTGGTTAAAAATAAATTGTTTAGAGTTGCAATTACTTGCACCTCCCATCAATTTGTTTTCAATGTCTTTTATTCTTTTTTAAAACTCTTCCAGTGATGGCATACTGTAGTGATGGAATTATTTATGCAAAGTTAATGTAAAGTAAATCTTATGAGATAAAGAATATGTATAAACTGTGAGAATAAATACAGTATTTGAATGGCTCCAAATTTGAGGCTGATTTTATTTCATATTTGCATATGCATGGAAACCAACTCTGAAATACATTTAAAAAAACAAACCAAGATTAAGCATAAGAAACAGCTTATAAGCTATGATAGGATGTTAAAGTCTTGCAAGAAATGGGTCAAGAAGATCTTTGCCTGGTATTGAAATGGCAGTCAAGTAAAATATTAGAAACTGTGATTTTAGATGGCTTTCTACAACCAACCAATAGCACTTCCCAAAATTAATGTTTTGCCTTCAGGCTTTTGAGTAAATTACACGTTCACCTCTATCCATTTATCTTTTGGATGCTGCCTCTTATTTGTTTGTCTAGTACTGTACTGTAGATGATAATGCAACTTGGAAGAATAGCTTGTAATTGTAATGAGATGGCTGCTGTATCATTTGCAAAACATAATGAAAATATTAAATATTAAAACATGTAAAAAGTGTTTGTGCTAAAGTGATAGTAGATAAAGTGATAGTAGATCTGCAACAGGTGTTATACCTGCACCATTTATCACTTGATGTCTGTTCTTTAATAAATGCGATATGTGAGCTCAGATGCTTTCTCTGGATAAAATTGTTCTGATTAACTGCTTCATCACTTGAGACTTTCAAGAAGAGATTATTAGACTGCCATTTGTCAGAAATGGTGTAGGGTCTCCTGCTTAGGCGGGGGGTTGGACTAGATGACCTACAAGGTCCCTTCCAACTCTGATTATCTGTAATCTGTAAAAAGAAAATATAGCGTGTACTAATCCAATGCTTTCCAGTTGTTTGGAATTACCAGAATTCCCGACTTCTGTCATTCATTCAGTACAAATTGACCTTTATTTTTAAGCCACAATATATGTAACTTAATAATACAAATGAATATGGTGGCTAACAGGCTAAATTATATTTGAAAAGTAAATACTTTCTTGAAAATTAGAGTACTTTCCTATGGTAGAGGGAAACTTTATTTATTACAGTCAATAACCCATTAATAAAACACATTCCATACCTAAAATATTAATTCATTAAATTAGGTGAAGGTATCAATCAAATTGCTGCATATCTTGTGCATTAGATGACAAAATTTGGCTAAACTTAATGCAATGGAGTCATTTCAGTCTGAAAATCAGTTTGTAATAAAAATATTCAGAATGACTAGGGAAGTTAGGTGAATATAAAGTTAAGGTCTCATAGTGTCAGTGTAAAATGAGCAATATAATAAAACACATTTGCTGTTTTCAAAGGCTCCTTTATATTTATATTGTCTTGATTTGAATGAGGTAGTCTTGATTTGAATAGCACAGACTTGATTTGAATCTCCGCTAAAACCACTGATGAGAATTCATTGAACATGCCATTGTTAACACTCACCTTAGTACAGGGGTCTCCAACCTTGGCAACTTTAAGACTTGTGGATTTCCAACTCCTAGAATTCCTCAGCCAGCTTAGTAAATTAGTTTAGATATCTAGCATGTGTGAAAACTGCAGAGAAATATGTCTTTAGGGAGGAGTCTCAGGTCTGAGTGGCTATCAAGTTACGTTGAGGCCTTGTCTGGTTGCTTCTACTGTACACTTACGCCCTAAGCATGTGTATTTATTTGCATTGAAAGAAGAGTAGCAGTTTCTAATTTATTGCCTTGGCTCAAAGGAAGTAAAATTATCAGAAAGGACCAGAGGAGTTAGATCTGCCAGGGAGAAGAAAAGTTTAATTCAGCATGTGAAAATGTGTACCCAGGCATTGGAAGTAATCTTACTGACACCAGTCTGGTGATATTAGACTATGTTTGAATTACAACATGAGACTTACGATGTAGAATGTTTCCGGAAAGAATCTAGTCTGAATCTCTCCCAAGATGGCAGAAGAAATATATGGACCTGATTGGGTGCCAAATAATAATTCTTTCTTGGTCTAGGCCTGAATGATTTTGAAATGAAACGGGAATATACAGTGCTCTCTTGTAAAAGGTAGTTTGTGGGGTTATAGCAGACATTTGGGCTTTTTGCATTATGTGATCCATATATATATATATATATATATACAGTACATCTACATCCTAAATGTGGTTGTGACATGAAACACAATACCACTTTAATGACTAAAGTATCTTCTCAATTGGATGATGGTTTACTTTCCAAACATACGTTTTAGGGGGTTTAGCACACACCAGCATCTTGGTTTATTATAGTGAATTTCTAGGGTTTCGAGTGGCAGTATTCAGCCGGGACTTGCAATCCTCTTTTTAGGCTACCGTAGGTTTGGGCAAACAGAATGACCTCATCTGTATGTAAGAGAATTGCTATATATTTTTCTGCCAGTTAAAGCAGGGCGCTTTCCTGCATTAAATGTTTTAATAACAAAATTCTTCCATTTGGGAGATGCCTGAGCCTGTTTGAGAGCCCTGATCGTACCATGGAGGTATTGTGGGGTTCGTCATTTGGAGCACCTCGCCTACATTCAGCTAGTGCTGACTTGCAACTCAGGATGACTGTATTGTGGAAAAGCAGCCCAAGCAAGTGCTCTTTGTTCTTTGAGCGCAGCAAAAAATATATTTTAAATAAAAGAGCTAGTGTCTTTTTGCCACTATTACTGTACTAGACAACATTCTACTTTGTTTAGCTCTTCTAAATACAAATTTAGAATGGCATCCAAAATATATATTTTAAGCTTCATACGTTGGAATAATATTCTATGGATAATTCCAAAGGATGGCAACTCTTGTAAATGTGCTGTTCTATTTTATCTCCTTTGCTTCGTAAAGCCTAAGAAAAAGATTAATATTACTCCAGCATTTTCATATATAACAATTGTACAATATGGTACAATGAATCTGAAGGTAGGATCCACAGAT